CTGCATATAAGTGACAGAATAATGGTGTGGTTGGGTGACAAACCGAGTGGGAGAATTTGCGTGCGGGAGCTAGGGAGGGCGGGGGGGGGGGCGTGCACGTGCTCCCAAAACTATTTTCAATCTAGCTCTTAAGTTCTGGCAAAGATTTGTTCTACACAACCACTCACAAAAACTGTTTCAAAACATGTAACTGGGAATCATGGATATTTAATATATAACAACCTTAAATTTGCTTTTCAGGTGGCAAAGAATATTAGGTTCCCCCGTTTTTGTTCGTTTGGTGACTGCACATTTGTGTTTTAAGAACTGCACAAATGCATGGGTTTAGAACTGCACATTTTGTATAGAACTGCACGTTAAAATAAACCCTGAATGAAACAATACTATACCTTTTCTTTTCACTCAATCTGTTCATTTGGCTCCTGTCCATGATTTCAAGTGAATGTCCGTACATAAAACAGAACAAGCAAAGAAAGGCGCAAAGCATTGGAAATTTACGAATTTTAACGAATGTGTACGACATAGTCGAGGCTTGCGGTTCGGTTCGCTTTCGCAAAATTCAAATCCGAAAAATAGCCGTAAGAAATCGGCGGTGAAACCGTAAAATTTATCGCGGTTTTTGCAGTTAGTTTATTTCTAATAACAAGCTCCTTCGTGGTCAATTACAATTTCCTTTGTATTTTCCGCATCAATTATTACGAAAATTACAAATACCATGCAGCTAGTAACAGTGCGGATGTTTATAAATTTGTGTAGCAATGTACGAGATTTATTTTTTATTTATTTACAAGTTATATAAATTTTCATCCAATCTGAAATAAAATTTAATCGACATCCTTGGCCAACGGCTACGGCCATTAGCTCCCCAAATTTCTCCACACAAAACACACATGCACATATAAACAGCCAGGTGAAAACACATAACCTCTTCACGGACGCCAAATTATATTTTTGACAGTGCTGAACGAAATGAAAATAATTTTTGTCAAAAATATTATATCCTGGCACAGTTTTAAAGTAGCAACGTTTATTGTTCTATTAAAGGTTCAGTGACATGTTATGGTGATACAGTGAAGAATGCCAACTGTCCTAAAGATCAATACATGGTGGTCAAGTTTGCAACTTACCGTGGATTGCTTGGCAACAAGACATGTGGTTCAAGTGATGATTACAGTTGTGAAGTTGATGTGACATGTCTTTTTAAGAAACAATGTGATGGTCTACACGAGTGTAATATAACTGTCGATGAGAATTTGTTCTCGGGTGATCTATGTCCTGGATTGTCAAACTATCTTTACTTTGAATATCAATGTGTTGATACTATTGAACCTTTTAATGAACTTTGTGGTATGCATTGGTATAAATAAATATGGTTTTATTCATGGTTACAACTCGTAGTTTCAATTAACTTCTCTTAAGACCTGTGCACAAGACAAGTTCCCATAGTGTTTAAAAATGTTCAACTTCGATTTAGCACGCACTTGTCATATGCATGCTACCCACATATAAAAATATTCATTATAGCCTTACATGGCAAAATAACCAATAACCTTGTTCTTTTCATGTTTTTGTAGTTCAAGACGTGTCTCTATCATATTCATCTCTGCCTTACGAAGGTGTCGTACAAATTACCATTGATGGTGGGACCAAGAATGTTTGTTCGCAAAGTTTACAAGAAAATCACAGGGACGCCCTGTTTGCTCTCTGTCGTCAGCTGGGATACGATGGCGTACTCGTTCTTGTTGGTATGCCCAATCCAACGGATGCCAAAAATGCAACATTTTCTGGAAGCATAAATTGTAATTGGAGACCCAGATACTTATCCCAGTGTTCAATTACAGCTTCGGTCAACCAAAGTTGTTCTGAGTTATTGTACATACAATGTAAGTGTGGCAAGATGAAACGAATAGAATGCAGAGATAAAAGAAAGGAGTAAAAGATATAAAAAGAAATAGAAAGTAAATAATTAGAGGAAGAATGAAAGAACAACCTCATTGGGTCAATCTGATTGTTCATCAAAATTTGGAATGCTTAACTTTTTATTTTCTTATTTTAGGTGGTCACTGGGTGTGGTATACACATTATTTTAAACCACTGTTGCAAGATAAACAAAGATATCCAGATTCGTCATTTAGTGCTTCTGCTTCTTCAGAAGGTCACAGTGCTTCTGATGCAAGAATATCTAGTGACAGTTCTTGGTGTGCTCCTGTCTCAGATGACAACCATTATCTTCAAGTGGACTTAGGAAGACTGTATGAGGTCGCTTTTGTCGTAATATATGGTGATAGTAGCAGCCCAAAGTGGGTGGCCTCGTATAACCTGAATTACACCACTGACTTGGCGGTGGCGAACTGGAATACTTTCTACAAGGTGAAAAAGAATAATGTAACCAACAATAACATCAACTTATTTAGCCTATTGTTGTGACTTCTCTTTGTTAACGATGCATCTCTCACTATTCTTGTTTGTAGATACGAGGAAACACGAATGCTTACGACCATGCAGCTTCGAAACGTCTTCATATTGACGCAAGGGCTTTACGATTCATTCCATTGACATACGTAGGTCAACCATGTATGAGAGTTCAAATCTGGGGTGGAAGTAAGTAACTGCACATAACTTAATTGTAGTTATTTCTTAATTCTCAACTCGCCCCCACACACTTTATTAACTCTACCAGGAGGTTGGTTTTTATCTGCATGCATGGGTTTGGTGTTTGTGTCTGTCCATCTATCGGCAGGAAAATTTAAAAACTATTAAAACCTAGTTCACACTAGCATTTTTGTGGAAGATTTGGTGTTTCTGACGGATACAAACGAGTGAACTCGCACAGAAAATTATAGGGTCGCTTTTCAAAGGTAAATAATTTTAAGTCTTTTGCATGTCATTTAATCGATCACATTTGCCAGAGGGACAAAAATCGCCGACAGAAATGCTAGTGCGAACCAGGCTTAAACAGTTTAGTACGACATTTAAATGTCGTACTAAATGACTATAATATAATGGTGATTGCTGGATAGTATACTTCAAAATAAGGTTTCCGTATTTATAACGTAGAAAAAACTATCCTAGCTATCTTATTTTACAAATTGATATAAAACGGAAACCTTATTTTGAAGTATACTATCTAGCAATTGCCATAATATAATTGTCTGGATGTGCTCCTCACGAATATTTGTGAACATGTCATAAACATTTCAGTATCTGAGCGGAAGAGTATTGGTGTACCATCTGACCACAAAGCACTAACCTTTGACTTGAACTTCACTGCACGCATCCCTAATGATAATAGGCAGGAAACATTCGACCTTAAAAAGGCTGACTTTGAAGGACTACGAACTGCGTTAAGGAACGACCCGCTCGAGAACTATTTAGATACGGATAATGACGTTGAACAGAACGGGACTTCATGGAAAACACAACTCTTCTCCAAGCTGAAGCCTTCATACCGAAGCGCAAGCCTCGTAAGTTCATAATACCGCCATGGATTGATGGAGAGGTAACCCATGCAATACGGCAAAAGACTACTCGCTTTGAAAAAGAGGAAAAGAAAAGAACAACCCGGCTACTTGAGAGAGATTCCGTGAAAAACGTAAGAAGGTAAAATACCTAATAAAATTTAAACGTATTGCCTTCCTTAAGAACATTTCAGACTCATGCTTTTCTCATCCTAATTGCTTCTGGAGTTACTTCAACCGGTTGACGAGACGTTCCAACATTCCCGAAACTGTCGAACTTAACGGACGTTCTCACTCGGATGCGAGGTCGAAAGCCAACGCGTTTAACAAGTATTTCACCACCGTTTTCAACTCTGATACATCAATACCCAGGAACCTTTCCTCCTCTCCATACACGCACGATATCGTATCGACCCTCGAATTATCCCACGAATAAGTATTGTCCTCTCTACAAAATCTCAACTCGAGCAAAACATATGAACCGGACAATCTTCATCCGAGAATTCTGAAAGAATGTGCAAACGAACTAGCACCCTCCTTATGCTTAATATTCAACAAGTCATTGGGTAAGCTATATTATTATTATCATTATTATTTCGTGTGGGTAAGCTTCCATGTGATTGGAAACAGGGGAACATAACACCAGTGTTTAAAAAAGGATCTAAAGCTTTGGTGCCCAATTATTGTAAAATTTCCCTTCTATCTATTGTCAGCAAATTGTGTGAACGTTGCGTCCTCAGGAACTTACTATCGAAGCTCAGTCACCTTCTAACATCTGCACAGCATGGCTTTCAAAATGGCTTTGTTCGAGGAAGATCTTGTATTACGCAGTTGTTGTCAGTTCTTCACGACTTGGGAACCTCGCATCACTTTTTGGCTTAGAGGATCCATTGAAAACGAATCTTATTAAGCTAAACGAACGCATTCACGAAGTTCAAGCAAGCGGCGAGTTCGGAGACAAGGTTATGGAGAAGCACAAATATCTGTTCGATGACAACCTTGGGGAATTACCGGTCGTTTACTCCATGAAAGTTGACCGCAACGTAACACCCGTGATCAACCCACCACGCAAAATACCAATCGCAATGGGAAAAATGTGAAAAAAGAGCTTGACCACATGGTGGAGAAGAAGGTAATCTCCCCAGTCTCGAATCCAACTGAGTGGGTATCGCAGATGGTAGCTACACGAAAGAAAAATGGCGAAACGCGCATTTGTCTAGATCCACGAAACCTGAATCTAGCACTGACGAGACCTCATTATCCAATGAGAACAGTCGAAAGTGTTGCTGCTCGTATGGCAGGTGCCACAGTGTTTTCTACCTTAGAGGCAAAATCTGGATTTTAGCAGATTACGCTAGACGAGAAGTCATCGGTGCTGACCACATTTGGTACACCATTTGGAAGATTTCGATATCTGCGAATTAATGCCGTTTGGTATAAATACAGCATCAGAAGTATTTCAAAGAACAATGCAACAGTTGTTCACCAGCCACCCTTCTGAGATCATTGTCGACGACATACTAGTTTGGCGACGTGACATTGCTGAGCACGATTATAATTTCGAGAAAGTATTGCAGAGAGCAAATGAAGTTAACCTCAAGCTAAATACAAAGAAGTGCAAGTTCCGACTCGAAAGTGTTTCATACGTTGGGCACCAGTTCACCAAAGATGGTCTCAAGCCAGATGAAGACAAGATAAAAGCAATCAAAGAAATGACAGCTCCTGATGGTCCAAAGGCTTTACAAAGATTCCTTGGAATGGTGAATTACCTGCATAAATTCATCGATAATTTCAGTGAAAAGACGGCTCTACTCCGCCAGTTGCTGAACAAAGACACAAAGTGGTCCTGGGATGTACATTATCAAGTGGCTTTCGTGAAGCTCAAGAAAGAAATCAGCAATCCTCCAGTGCTAAAGTTCTTCAATCCTGCGAGACAAGTTGTCTTATCCATCGATGCTTCCAAGAGTGGTTTAGGAGCGCGTGTCGTCAAGACGGTTCTCCAGTGGCGTATGCTTCTCGTGTGATGACCGAAACGGAAAGTAGATACGCACAAATCGAGAAAGAGTTGTTGGCTGCAGTTTTCGCCTGCACAAAGTTTTACGATTTTACGTATGGCAACAAAGTTGTGTTAGAAACTGATCATAAACCCCTCATCACGATCGTGAAGAAACCTCTACACGTAGCTCCAGCACGACTCCAACAAAGGCTTCTGCAACTTCAGCGATATGACCTGGAATTTTTCTATAAGAGAGGAAGTGATCTATTCGTGGCAGATACCCTATCACGTGCCTATATTAATGAGAAACCCAATCAAGAGAACCACGACGAGTTTGAAGTTATGTCGGTTGAATCCATATCACCTACAAGAATGGAAGAGTTAAGGTAAATTACCTCTACAGACCCGACCATGCAGAAATTAGTTCAAGTCATTCGAAGCGGTTGGCCTGCGAAGTACCGAGAAGTACCGCGTGAACTAGCGGAATATTTTTCAGTAAGAGATGAGTTGGTGATCGATAACGGTGTAATTCTAAAGAGCCAAAGAGTGGTCGTCCCAGAAAGTCTGCGTCGTGTGTATATCGAACAGTTACATAGAGGACACCCTGGAGTAGAGGCAACAAAGAGAAGAGCAAGAGATGTGGTCTATTGGCCAACGATGACGAAAGATATCGAGTATGTAATATCTTCGTGCAAACCGTTCAATAGTATACCAAATCACACCAAACCAAAGATCCCAAGGAAAATCATCCAACACCGAAGTTGCCATGGACACAAGTAAGCGCAGACATTTTTGAATGGAATGATTTGAAATATCTAGTAATTGTCGATGCGTACTCCGGATGGTTTGAAATTGACACCCTACGGAACATGTTGTCTAAGACCGTAATAATGAAAATGAAACGCCATTTTGCGGTTCATGGTGTTCCAGAATTGTTGATGACTGACAATGGCACCCAGTTTGTGAGTGAAGAATTCAAGTTATTTGCGAAAGATTGGAGTTTTAAGCAAGTGACCAGTAGCCCAACATATCCTCAATCGAATGGTCTTGCAGAGAATGCAGTTAAACAAGCCAAGAAGCTATTAGAAAAATCTAAGAGGGATGGATCTGATCTTATACTTGGGTTGTTAAACCTAAGAAACACGCCTAGGGATGATAGTCTTGGTTCACCTGCACAGCGCCTTATGTCGAGAAGAACTCGAACAGTTCCTCCGATGTCAAATAAGCTTCTTAAACCAAACGTCATTCCATGCAAACAAGTGTCACAAAGGATACGTAGGAAACGAAAGCAACAGAAGACCTATTAAGACAAAAGTGCAAAGACACTTGGAACTTTGAAAGCGAATCAAATTGTTAGAATGCAAACGGCGAAAGGATATGATAGGATTGGCGTAGTTAAGCAAGTAGCAAAGGAACCACGGTCGTACATAGTCGAATCAAATGGAAAAGAGTATAGAAGAAATCGAAGACATTTGCTTGCTGTACCAGAACTATATTATCATATCAAAGAAGAACCTGACGAACCAGATGGAAGCACACCATTTGAGAGTTCTCCACAACCAGTATCAAGCCACCCTACAGTTAATACGGTTCCCGACGAAAATTACGAAGTTCCACAACAAGCAGCATCAATCCCAACACCCATATTACCACCAGGTCAAGTTGTAACAAGATCCGGAAGAGTTTCCAAACCAAATAGAAGATACCAAGATTATGTAGTGTGAGCATTAAATTTAATTAACATTATAGAACAATATTTATTTATTTAAAATAGCAGTTCAGAACATTAGAGGTTTGTTAATATCAGAACATTATCATTATTATATTATATTATTAATAGTTATTATACATTATTATATATATATATATACATATTAGTATGAACGTTAACTCCTATGACATTAATTTCTCTAACAACGAAGGATTTAGACGAACAGTTATATAGCGGGCTCAGTAATTATGTACTGAAGGCTCAACAATACGGTTTCCTGACATATATAAACTAGATTATATTTATTCATCAGTGTGATAGTCGAGGTGTCAAAGTGAAGATATCAATTAATAAATGAACATATATATAAACGTTTGACATTTATCATATATCCAAGTTTTAAAATGTGCTGAACAAAAACAACTTCCTTTTGTGGGAACAAAGTTAACCGGGCATTCCTGTTCACATTTTCCACCCATTTTGCATAGATGTCAGGGTTTTCTTCACATCAGGAAAACTGGAATAGAATACATACAATACAGTATATATATTACATATAGTACATTACATATTAAATTACAAAATGTTTCCTTAAACAAAGGAAATGACATACATTGCAGGGTAGGGTAGGGTGTGTGGCTGGTGTTGTCCACCCTCTCAATTTTTGTTAAGACTATGGGTAGAATTGGAAAATAAGTCGATATCTATCAAGCACTTAAATGCTGCTGTTTCAGATGGTTTTTATTATAAATTGTACTTATTTATAATAATTACATTATATAGTAGTCATTAATTATTATTAAACAAATGGAATCAGTCAAAGGATATTGAAAATTAAAGAGAGGGCAGGATAA